GTGCACCAAGTGACCACCAGGTGTGCATTTGGGTGGGCCAGCAGGCACATGACTAATATGTGACTGATAATTAGCACCAGCAATTTCTGTGATGCCTCTTGTGCATATATAAATACTGAGTATCATGCTCAAAAGATGACTAGTAAATGAGTATTAATAACTTTTGGTTGAACTATAACATTAAGGTCAGGAGCTTAAATGATCGCTTTTAACTTCAAGACTTGGAATCATTGCATGGTCTTAGGCTAGCACAGGCACCATCTTCTAAACCTCAGCCACCTAATTCAGTGTAAGAATAATACAATGCTTGCCTGGAGCCTATACACAGCTATTCCACAGGAAACAAATTTATCTTGGCTGGAAAGTGCATAGTGCACAGAACTATGACCAACATGATCTAGCTGTAGAAGGGATAGCCGTGTTAATCTGTGCAAGCTTTTTAGGTGAAAACAAAATAAATGTAAAATGTGAAAAAAAAAAAGAGACAAAAACGTGATGGCACCTTAAAGACTAAGTTCTATATTTTCATCTGGTTGTTGATATTTCCTCTCCTGAAAAGTGATGCCAGGTCTGAGTTTTTGCAAACCACACTCCCCATTTTTGACATGCCCATGAGTGACTACTGTGAGCTGAGCTCTCCCCTATCCTAAGTCATTTGTTTGTTCATGGCTCTTGAGACTCTTTTTCCTTTTGTTAGATAAATATGAACAATGGACCTCAATAACAGATTTTTGTAAGGCTATAGATTTGTAGATGTATGTATTGAAAATGGATTCATGCCTAATTCCAAGGGGATAAATTTTAGCTATGAATTGCTTGCTGCAAATTCAGAAATCAGCATAGGCATTTGCTGTAGTATGCTAACCCATATGATTGATGTGTAACCACAAATTTCGACACTCGCATCTTACCTTGAGGCAATTCACAGCCATAATGTACATCAATGGACTTACATTGGTGTAAATTTTCAGTTAGATAGACCCATGAAAATACATACAGGAAGCAAAACTTTGCCTTTGAAAAAAGCCTTTTTTCTATTTGGTCATTGAGACAAAGCAAAGAAGAAGAAAAAAAAACATGCTTTCCTTTTATCTATAATGGTAACTCTGGACAAAGATCTTATGAAAGATCAAGAATTATTTTAAAATGTGTGCCTTTAAAAAAACGGAACTTGGGCAGACCTAAAATGTCCAGTAATATTGAAAATCTGTATTAAGATTGTAAAACCTACATATTTTCTTCCCAAGTAAAGGGGTTAATTAGAATTCATTTCTGTGTCTCTCATTTTACCTTTTTCCTCAAACGCATATCAAATTCTACTTACTTGGCTTTCCAGCCACTATCCGTTATTTCCAGAAGAAGAAGAAGAAGAAGAAGAAGAAGAAGAAGAAGAAGAAGAAGAAGAATGCTAATCCAACCTAGGGCTGGATTAATGACAGAACATTCCCTTAAAACATAAGCACATAAATTAAAGCAAGCAGATGTTCAGACATTCCATCTGCACATCCTGCAACCCACATGAGGCATAGGCAGACTTGCTGCCCATCTGTTGAGATGGCTTATTCTCCATTCAGTACTTTGTCTCAGGCGTTATTCAGTTGGGGGCTTAGTTTGGCGTCCTATTGAACAGTAAGATTGCTATGTTGGTGAAGATTTCCCCAACTTTCCTTGCAGTAAGCTAGATAAGCATTACATTTCACTTGGTTATTTATTTGAGGGGGGGAGCCCCAAACATAGGATGTTGGTTCCATGTAAGGTTCATGGCAATGAATACCTGTGAAGCCAACGAATGAGTAAATTAGGACTGGAACTATACCTTTGCAATAAAGTGGAGGAAGTCTTTTTCCTGTGGGTTAGTTGAAAACAGGCACAAGTAACAAACAGATCTGTTTTCAGATCCTCAAATTCCAGCGTTTCATTCTTTGTTTCAATTTGGTCTGCACACTTGTCACCATGGGGGTGTTGGGGGCCAGGCACAACATCACGTGATAGGAATGCCATGCCCTGCTCCTGTCCCTTTTTTATTTTTTTTAAATGGTGTCATGATTCTTCAGATGTGCAATTTTAATTTTGGCACCCCTAATTTATGGTTATCACATGAAGGAACAATCTGCAAAATGTCCTGTCCATAACTGCCCTGCCCTGTAAACTCAAGGTGTGGCTTGCTTTAAGGAGTTGGTCCATCTTGTATCTGGTTTTTCCTGCTGCCTTCCATCTTTTCCAGCATTAGTGAATGCTGCCTTTTCACAACGTGTCCAAAGTAGGTCAGGCACAGTTTCAACAATTTTGCCTCCAGATGGACCATCTTATGCCTATTCCATCTTGTTTCATTTCTAGCATCCTTCAAAAGAAGAAGTGAAATACCACTTGTATTCTTCATTGTCTGCAATTATGTAGAATGTTCTTCATTGTCTGCAATTATGGAGAATATATGGGCCTGCTAGTTGAAAATAAAAACGGCTAACACTAGGAATAAAGCTGGTTGAAATATATTGTGTTTGAATAGTGGGTTCCCATTATTAACAGGATTGATTCTTGCCAGTACATAGCCTTGAAGTGCTCCTAAAAACAGCTGTGTCTGGATTCTAAAGCAGAACCTAGCTTTGTTTGAAACCCATGCCACCATTTCCATGAATATTCAGACATACTCACCAGCCTTTGGTTAGCATTGGAAAGTGCTTGTCCCTACTGGTAACTTTTGCCAACTGGTAACTTGTTCCTACTGGTACCTTATGCAATATCCAAAGTCTTCTCCATGCAGCTTTCAATCACACACAGCAATAGCATTATCTCCTAGTAGCAAGGTAATGTTGGATGGGATTGAATTGTAAATATAAGAAAGAGGGGGGGAAATGCCTCAGTTTTCCCAGCATGAGTGCGTTATGGAGTCTGCCATATTGCCTTGAGAAGAAGTAGGCGCTGGATATCAGTGATGAAATGTTGGCTATATTGATGTTTGCAGAATCATACAGTTTACAGATGGAGGAAGAAAAAAGAAATGCACTTAATCTGTACTGCAGATAATGGAATGCCTGAGTATGCAGTATGTGTCAATTTTAACACAATAATTTATTATTGCCTTTTTCAATTATTGCAGTTCCTTTCAGAAGGTCAAAATTGGGGCTTCTAAGACAAAAACAAAATCTATTGTATTTGAATTTTATAGCCTAGAGAAAAGCAATGAATGTTTTATACATTCAATATTCTTATCATTATACCTATAGAAATAGCCCCTCCCCAAAGAAATTTCTAGTGTAATTGTACAGCATAATCCACCAGGAGGTTCTGGAAAATCCAAGTGAAAGTAGTATTGGCAAGATTCTGCTACTTGTTGCAGTGATGAGCTACTGTTTAGTATATTTGCTAAGAGGCACCTTTAAAAATGGCAGTGAAACACTGCAGTCTTATCCAGAGCACACAGTGGCTCAAGATTTCTTATTTAAAAGAGGGGAATGATATAATGTATTGATAATCATTTTTATCATAGAGCAAATACTGTAATCCACTCTATAAAATCTGTATTCCTTCCTATAAGAATGTGTCACATTAAACTGGGAAACTCCTTTATGTATTGATGCACACCATACAAGGGTAAATATCTTGCTATGAGGAATTATGATACAAAGCAGCACATTATTTCCTCTGGAACAGCCTTGAGGATGATGATGATGGTGATGATGATGATGATGATAACAACAAAAACAAAAACAAAACAAAACAACAAAACAAAACAACAACAACAACAGCGACAACGACGACGACGACGACGACAACAACAACAACAACAACAACAACGACAATAATAATAATAATAATAATAATAATAATAATAATAATAATAATAATAATAAAACTCCCTTAATTTCTGAATGCCCAGCTAGTGCTGTTAGTCAACAATATTGGTGGGAATGGATGTGTGTGTGTGTGTGTGTGTGTGTTCGTTTGTCTTTGCGTTTGTGTTTAAATGGAAGGGAAGGCAAATTTTCATCTTCAACACTGTATTGTACCTAAATATGAACCATGGCTTCCTTCACTCTTCTTAAAAGAGTACAGTACTTTATTCTTCTTTTATGTTCAGTCCAAAAAATAAATTAAGAATGCTGCACTCACTGTGAATATTTTCATTTGTGATTTGTTCTTAAGAACGTGTGTTCTCCGCTGTTCCCTGGAATGCCATGATCGGCATCTCTAAAAACCTTATTGATGAACAGCAACAAAACGAAAAAGACAGAAAATGTATTACAGGGTCAAAAGATGGCTTGAGGTTATTGGACTCATATCGTAAACAAATGTGGAGGTGAAGGAGCAGTCAGATAGAGATGCCTATAGAAGGAAACGGCTGTGCTGTTCTTTCTAACTACATTTGTTTTTATTTCCTTGGGGCGAATCCCTCTGTTTCGGGTTATATCTCATATAAAGCATTCAGTAGTAGCATCCTTCCCCTCCAGGCCTACTGACCCATTCTTCTTCATGGGCCCCAAAACTGAATTAGGAACAGAACAGAAAGAAAGGAGAGAAAGGGGGAGGAATACAGTCCCACTTCCTCTTACGATTCCCATTTATTAATCTAAACATCATCTCCTGTCTAAAGGATATTTTTAAAAAAAGAACAGAAGTATAACATATTGGTTGAACATAATTATATCATGATAGATATTGTATTATACCTATACATTAGACCTTTGAGGAGAAGTGTGGGCATATATTCATCATTTTCTAGTAGTTAAAAGTATCTAAAAGCACATATGTAAGAATGGCTTATTTGAAGCAATGCAGTTCTGGCAGAGAGTAGAAGAGGATGGGCAGTAGAGGGGAAGAACACATAGAGGAAAGGAACAGTTTGTAATGATTCCTTCCTTGGGGCTCTATATCATCCTCATGTCTGTTCGCCACAATGGAAATCTTTTCCCTTGAAAGCACGGTAATTGGAAAAGAGTAGTTCAAAATGGTTAAAGGCATGTTTTCTGCTATGTAATCAGCATCATTCTTCTTTACCACAGATAACAGCTGCTGGAGGACATCTGAAATTCACCATTTCATATGACCTCACTGGGGAAGATGCTGCTGCCCAAGCGATGCTTCAGTCTGATGTCATCCTAGAGGTAGAGCATTAGCACATGTCATAACTGTTTGTTCTGTGGAAAGGGCGAATTGCCACACAACAGCTAGAGTTTGTGGCTAAAAATGAACCAAGTACACAACCCTTTCCTTAGGAACAGTGGAGGGGAAAAAAATGAAAAAGAGTCAAGAGTAACAGGACAAACATTGCAAATGCAGCAGTATATTCTTCTAGGATGATGACTAGGATGCTGTAATAGTAATAAGCAGCACAGAAGGTGTGATGCAAGGAAATGTGCTTGAGTCCTGTTGATTCAAATATGATTTAAAGCTTAACTGTGTGCAGGATGAACTCCAAAGGCCTCTCTTGAAGAAAGAGAATTACATATAGATCCCACTTACTTTAAAGAAAATCACTTATTGAGGCACTGCAAGCACTTTACACTGCATATAGCTGCTGGTTTCCATTATTATATAATTATGGCCACGATCCTATAGACACATCACATCGTCACAATCCCTAGCTGTAGAAGCATTCTCACCTCTTTAAGGCTTAATGCAGGATGGCATCTGATACTGTCCTACTTGCCCCCCCCCCACAAGCCCATCGGACCATGGACTGCCTGGAATGCCAGAGGACCCCAGATGCCAAAGCAATCCAGTGCTGTTTTAGCTGCCACTGAAGCCTCTAAGATCCATCACAAGAACACTGCCAATGCTTTTTTTTTACTCCAGCAGCATGTTATAAGCTCTTGGCCACTATAATTATGTAAAAATTATTTTTAAAACCGCATAATATTTAGCTGAGTGGTTTAGCTATTTGGCTGTGGAGCCAAAGATTGGGAGTAGAACCAGCCTGTGCAGCCTTGGGAGAGCTGCACAGATTCAGGGCACCCTCAAAATAAAGGAAGAGCAAACCACCTCTGAGTACACTCTCCCTGGAAAACTCTGGAAAGGGTCACCACAAATCAGAATTGATTTGAGGAACATTTGTTATTGTTGCTGTTGTTACATGAGGAGAGAAGCATGTTGGATGTGCCTCACCATTATAATTTTGCTCATGTGAGAAGTCATGGGTCCAAAGCAAAACCCCTGTTCAAGCATTCCCTTTTACTATTATAATGATAAAAATGCACCATCTGGTTGTTTCTGACTGATAGTGACTTTTCTCTGGGTTTTCTAGCTAGAAAGTATTCATAAGTGAATTATCATTCCCTTCTTCTGGGGGTGCCCTGGGACTGTGCAGCTTGCCCAAAGCTACATACTGTAGTCTGCCTTTTCTCCTGGGAGACACATTGGGGAATCGATCTCCCGACCTCTGGCTCCACAGGGAAAATACACAAGTGACTGAGTTATGCAACCTTTTAGGATTGAGTAAACAGAGCAAGAAACAAATGTTCCAGAGTGCCCCTTCCATCATTAATTTTGCTCACAGGAAAAATAATGAACCTGGAAATCTCTCTCTCTTTTTTTTTCTTTTTTATATTTGGAGGGTCTTCATGTGAGCCAGAACTCGAGTTTTCCAGAGTTCTGACTTCCATGAGGACCCTCTACATGTGAAAGAGTTTCTTTCGCCTCTTCATAGCCGTTGCTTTTCATGTAAGCAAGTGGCAACTGAGGTGACAGAGCTAGAGTGGATGTTTATTTAATTCTAATGCTGAACACCTGAATAAGGTCCCACAAGTTGTATTTAAATTGCGTTGTTCCATCATTATTCAAGTTTCCACACTGGTATTCCTATCACATTCTGAGTAGTCTGTCAGGTGCATAAAAGTGTCTAGCAGGATATATTTATGCCACAGCGTTGTGTTCGCTGTGTGGCATCATGTGTTGCTTCTCTGAAATGTCTGCACCCATAACTTTTTTTTAAATAATTACTAGGGAAGTGGCTTCCGAATCAGTACCTCACAAGAGGGAATTCACCTAAATCCGTTTGAAGAGCACACGGAAGAAGTGTTGCTGAAACACAACTTATTTATGCTGCATGGGACTGGCACTCCGGTCAGCAGGAGGGAATTCATGGCTGTGTTGGCAAATATAAAGAAACTCCTCATAAGAGCAACATACAGCTATGGGATGAATGCCATCTACAGGTAATTGTTGAGATTACACTTGATCAGCCTGCAAAACAGTGAAATAATTTTCTTTGTTCAGAAGTTTTATTGAGAAGGTTGATCTCCATTTTTCTCCACGTCACCTTCATTTAGCTTCAGACCATTTTGCTTTATGGAACAATACTACTACTTTTTTTCAGTGCCAAATACAACAGCACAGAAATGTCACAAATATTTTGAGAACCAAAGGTTTTAAAAACCATTTAAATAGAAATTAACCAGTTCCTGACTCAGAGGTAATTTTGATGTAACAAAGAGGTGTGAAAACAGATAATTACACAAATAATGTACAAAGAAAAATATTTATTGCACTATTTATGCATTAGTACATTCAGTTTCTCTGTCATTCAGCTTCACATATCTTAATTAAAATACAGTGCAATAAAGGGAATAGCAATACGCTTGTATGCGAGCATTTCCCAGAGCCTGGCTGTTGATTTGCACTGAGTTTTCTAACTCTTTTAGTGCCACTAACAATATTACCAATACCTTTATACAAAATGGCAAACAAATTGAATATCACTACCAAATGCCCTTTTATTAGGGATCTTGTTTCAGCAGTTCTGAACTGGCTTGCTCATAAGCAGGGAGTGGGTCATGGGAAAGGTACTGTACCTCCTATGCAATGTTGGTGTAAACCTTCTCTGCTGAGTCTATAAGCCGCCACTGCTCAGAAGTAATGCCTTCAAATTAAGTTGAATTTATTTCCATGTGAATGATTGTATAGGATTGCACTTTTGTGCCATTTAAAAATAGATGGTTTCCTTGAAAGCATGTACAGTTTGCTTGTCTATGTCACTGAAGTTTTCCAGAAGAGATTTGCCAGCTTCTAATTACCTCATCCTTAACTGGATAGCTTTTGTTTGTTTGTTTGTTTGTTTTGTTTAGATGAGAAGGGCTATGTTGGTTGAACTCTGGGACAATTTCTGGGAAATGAACTGTTGTTTTGTACCTCTCATTCAATCCAGCATCCTCACCTTCAATTTGATACAATTCAGCATCAGGTTTCATTCTCTCTACCTGCTTTGCATTAATGTTTTGCTTCCCAACTCTTGTTACTCATCAGAAGTACAATTAGACATAGAAAGGCACTTTTTTTTTCAGATGGATGAAACAACAGTTGGGTTTACCATAGCATTCCCACCTTCATTAGGACATGTAACTTGGTGACTTTGCCTGGGTACGAAATGTTGCCAAGTCTTAATCACCACCATCACCAGCATTGTCATTTTAGAACTACAGAGCTGGAAGGGATCCTATGGATCATTGAATCAATGAGGCACAGTAGGCAATCAAACCCCCAACCTCTGGTTCCAGGGCCAGAAACTTCAACCACAAACACCCTTTCTTTTCATTTGATTAAACAACTCAGCTTCCTTTCATTCCTGTGATCTTATCTTCTTCAACCCTTTTATATCATATTATGATAGTCTAATCTCTCTTAAAAACTCTTTTGCCGGTGTTGCCCAGTGCACTGAAGTGTAATCTTATGCCTGGTGACCTTTCACTTCACACCATTTCCAGATTCCTTACCATTAGGTCTGTCCATGGCTTTACACCAAGTTCTTCTTTGTTTTGCCTGTTTCTTCATGTGTGCCCTTCATGTTGAGTATCTGCCATCCTCATTCATCTCAAGGTCTCAAGATTTCTCTGTCACCTCTGCCTAGGCCCTTAATTTTTCTTTTGTGTATAGAATTTGCTTTTCAAGGACATGTACTGTTCTATGACTTTCAACATCTTCAAAAACCAGTTCTGACTGTTCTTCTGTAACATCTTCTTCTGCAGTAACAAGCCTGTTACTGCAGCTCGTGTGAGACATATTGCACCAAAGGAATAATGTAAGTAATTCAGGGTAAATATTTTGAGTAAATCAAGAAAATTGTACTTAAAGCATCTAGCATTGTGTTGAAGACTGCAATTTCTATATGAGACGGCTTCTTCAACAGTGTGTGCCAAGTTTAAACAATAGCTTTTTTGTGACTGTGGAGAAATTCAATAAATTCTCTCCATGCAATTTATGCCCCACCACATGTACAAAAGAAGATCTAGCAGATGGCCAAGATAATGCTATTGAAGTAGCCTATTTCTGGTCATAGTCTAATTGCCTTAATTTTTTAATTAATTTTTAATTTTACCTATATTTCATATACATCTATAATTTTAATTTGTTCAACACTCTGATTTGAATAAAGAAAGAGCAGTGTCCCCAGTGGCCATATTTGCAGTTGTAGCAATAATGAAAATTATTTTCTAGAAGACCTTCCACTCCCATGCAGAAAGAGCACTGCGGCCAAGATAGACTTCAATAGCTACTACATCTCTATATGTTCCCTGTGAAACATTGTCTTGCTCACAGTATATTATGAAGCTTATACATATAAGCCATTTCATGTCACTGCAACCAACCTATGCTAATGGAGTTTAATTTTCTTAATGTCAGTGCTCCTCTTTTCCACTTCCAAGTCTATACAAACCTTTTGGTTTTTCTGTAGCTCTAGCAAAACATTCATAGTGGGTCTATTCTGTACTGTATTGAGTAAAGATAAATGCATGGACAAATGTGGAATCATGTCTGCTGACTTTGCTTCCAGCCCTTAGGCTGTGATGGGTCTATCACTGTAAAATGAATCCCCCACAACCATGGGCCACCTCCACATGTACGTGTGCGTATCTTGACGCAAATAGGCTCGGTACACCCAAATCTTTATTTTTCACTTTTTCAAAGTGTAGATCATATATCAAATCCTGTGTAGTGGGTACATCCCTCCACCTTGTAGATGTAAATCTTGTTGCGTATTGCTGTATTCTCTTTGCAGAGAGATTTCACTGCATGAACCCACTCCCCATCACCAGGAAAAGTTGTTGCATTTCTCGAATGATTCTTGGCTATTTTTTCCTGGATAAAATGCCATATTGCTCAAGTTTGTTACAATATTTGCAGAAAATGACATATTTCCTGTGCAGGGTGGACCTCGAAAGGACAGAATAAAAGTTAAGATGCACTTGACTGTTGCAAGTCCTGGGCAGAATGTATCTTTCCTAGACATGATTCAAGGAGATTAAGCTATGAAGAATTTGTTCATTTTCTATACAGTACAAGAGGAATAAAGATGAAAAAGAAGATTGGGGTCTTATATTCTCAGGAAGCCAGGAAATCTCACCAGTATAACTGGGGAGAGGAATTTCAGCAGGCAGTCTCAATATGGTGAGTCCAGAAGAATCCTAGAGAACAAATTCTTGTCACATCCCCACTCCGCATAAAGGACTGTGAACTGCAGGAAGCTTGTGCTGGCGTTAACAAGCTCCCTGCAATATATCCATTTGGCCTGTGTCAGGATATGCAAGCATATGTATTTGTTCACTCTCCTCCATTCTGAAAGTCAGAGAAAGTCAGACACGGAGAAAGAAAGCAGTAGAATGGAAGCAGAATGAAAAGGAGAATTTCTGTTTCATCGTATTCACACCAGAGTCCATGGTGGAGCAATGCAATTCCAATCCCTGTTGTGGAGGGAGAGATAGAGAGGGAGGGAGAGAGATTTCCTGATATATATCAGGAGATATATATATCTCCTGATGAAACAGGAATTCTCCTGTTTAATATATATATAATTCCAACAGCCAACCAGCAAACCCCCTGATATATCAGCCAAAATAGTACATCCCAGAACCAATTCAATGTCTTGGAAATTATTAAAAATATAGAAAATCTGGAATGATGAAAATGTTGAGGGGAAAGAGAACATCTAACTGTAATCACTAGGTCATTCTTTGCTTGATGTGGATCTCTTGGTAGTAATCAAGAAGTGATTGAAGCAATAAACTTCCCAGTGTTTTCATGACCAACTGCAACAAAGGTCTCTTTAGTCCATGTGATATTGAGAAGTGTGATGGGTCAGGATCTGTGTAGCCAGTGTTCACATTTCAGCACCTAGTAAAATCTGGCACTATGTACTGAGCGGAACTGTGAGATAATGTTGCATGAAATGTAGATGATGTGACTCTAAAGCTTTCCAGCAGTATTGCACATTGGTGCTGATACAACAATTAATGTGATAGCAGATTGTAAACTGTGCAGCTATGGCTTCAGATGCTACATCCTCTTTTAATTTTGTTTTCATTTAGGAGTCAATGGGGTCTGCTACACTTGTCATACTATTAAATATTTGGTCTACATACTTGAATTTCTCAAGGATCTCTGAGTTCTTGTGTTCCATTACAGCCAACATTATGCACTTTAATGTCTGCAGAATGGCACAGAGCAATAGAAAACACTACATTGAAGTGGGGGAAATTTCACTGCAGGTTTTTTTTCAGTGAATAAAAACTGTTAAATGCATTAAAATACCATTTACCAAAGAGCAGAACCTAATGAAAATTGGAACTGCTCAACGAATATAAATGTGGAATACTATGGAGTGAAATGTTCTGTGTGTAACTCTTTCTCATTGTCCAAAATTATATTACAAAGCACTAGGCAGTGCCAGTGTGATTCAGTGGACAAACTGGATAAGAAGGACACTGGGAAATTTACTTATCTTTACAGATGCAAGAATTTGTATATGACTTTTAATAATCTTTGTAATCTTTTCATAGATTTGTTTGGTGACATCTCAAATTAAACCCTATGTAGGTATGTACTGTAAAGGCAATATTGGAAAGGTGGAAAAATTCTGAAAAGGATCTGGAATGTGTTTGTTCCTTTTAATACCATCTATGGCATATTTGCAAAATGAAAAGGAAGGCTAGTGTCTGAAGAAGTGGACTTGTACACGAGGCCTCACATTAAAAAGGTGTGCTGGTTTTATACTGCCCCATAGATTAATTTTACCTCTCTGGGCAGTTTACAAGTTAATTATGCAGGCTACACATTGCCCCCCCCCAGCAAGCTGGGTACTCATTTTATCCACCTCGGAAGAATAGAAGGCTGAGTCAACCTTGAGCCGGCTACCTGGGATTGAACCCTGGGTCCTGAGCAGAGTTTTGGCTGCAGCACAGCAGTTTAACCACTGCGCCACGAGGCTCCTTAAAATGTAGCAGTTAGTCTTTAAGGTGCCACAACATTGTGGGGTTTTTTTTTGCCAGATTTCCCCTCCAGTGGCTGACAGGAGGGAAGGTGACACCTTCACCATGTTGCTAAAATGGATTATAAGAGAGTGGTCACTGTAGATGAAGGAAGGCATGGTGTGATTTCAATGACAGCAAAAGGGAAATTGGCTGGCTTGCTGTAAAGCCCAAAGGAGACTAAAACCATATATCTTATCTGTTTATCCCTCAGTTTATCTACCGCCTCTTCTACTGATTTATTCCTTGCATTTATTCTTTCCATTTTTCCAAGTGGACCCTTTCTCCTCAGTAGACCTTTCTTCCTGAGCTGACCTCTGTCAAGAGAGATGTCTGACAGTGGAATGTGTGCTCTTGACTGTCTCAGTGGGTCTACCCCTGCCTTTCGTCTTGAATAAAGATGTACCAAATCCTTGCAGTTTCTCTCATTGCAGATAAAAAAAAGCAGCACATCAAGATACCACCTTGAAAAATACTTAACTGCTGTAAGAATTTTTTTCATTCATGCATGAGAGCAAAAAAATAAATAAATAAACCCAGCAAAGTCAGTTTTTAACAGAAAAAGTACTTCTGTGGCTTAATTGCAAATATCTTGAAATGCCAAAAAAAAAAAACCCTCACATAACTCTTCTGATTGTGTCCCATGGGGAGAACATTTTTGAAATATTTTGTTCTGTCCTTCATCACTACTCTTGAGATCTCAGTGAGGAGACAGAAGAGGAAACACAGCTGTATTTGAGTAGAATCAAAGAGGTCATGGGTCACTTGACTAGGGAATGGTAGGTTCCAAGTATTCCCTGTGAAGTGTAATGGAGGCAGAAGAAAAAGAACTGAGCATGTCTCTTTCACAGTCCTTAAGAAGGACTAGATGGTTTAAAAGTTATTCAGCTGTAGGGATGCTGTTTTTGGTGTTTTTAAAATCAAGCATGCATTTATTCTATCCTATTTTTACTATCACCACCTCGTTAAATACAAATACAAAATCCCATGCCTTTTAAATCCATGCATACTTTTGCATATGTTTTATTTGCCCTTTCTAGCTAATATACACATTCTTGCAAATACTGTCTCCTAATATATATGCCTTTTGTATACTGTTTAACAAATATGCATACAGTATATTAATACATCGTTTTCCAGAATATTTGCATTTCTAAATATAATTTTGATGGAAAAGTAATTGCATTGTAACATTATGAGGAGCCCAAAGGCCAAAGGATGGGTGTATTCTAGTTTATGTGTGGAGATGCCACACATAACCCAGGTCTGTTCTTACTGAAATGGGAACCAAACATGTTTTCCCCTTCCTCTTCTTCCCCACTTCTGCTGCAAAAACAAACTGCTGTTAGAGTAGAGTAGTTCAGTGCAATGTAGCTTCAGGGAGCTATGTAAACTGGTTGTCCCTCCGTAGTATATGTATCTTCATACGGCTATTATCAGATCAAAGCAGGTCTGTGAAAAATTCTTTTGTTATTTTTCAGAACACAAAGAAAGTACCCTTTTTTGTCAGTTTCCTTTTACTAGATAACATATGGGATGCTAGAAGTGAAAAATGATTCCCTTTATTTCTCTTGTAGAATTTTTTTAAAACTTTATGTACTAGTCTGTTTTCCACAACCAAAGAAATGTTAAGAAGTTGTGTATGTGTATGCGATGAAAATTACAAAACACTTTCTGCCTAGGAAGAGAGGAGTTAGTGCTTGACAGTTTCTTAGCTCTGGCCTTTGAGAAACAGCCTACTTCTGTGTGTACTTCCAACTGAAAAAAAGATATACAGATTGCAAGCTAACCCCAGACCTGCTACTGTGGATGCACTTGTGACAGCTTCCCTTTGTGAGCCTGCCCCACTAGAAACATGAGTATTATCAAGAGAAAAGCCACATCTGGAATGAGGGAAAGGGTACTTGAAACAAACAAATGGTTGCTGACAATTTCAACAGTAAAGTATCCCCTTCCTCCCATCCCAGTCTCCTAGGAAAAACTCTCTAAAGATCAACTTCCTAGTAATCTGTGTATCTTATTCTTACACCGTAGGCTGAGTGATGTCAGCTTGGAAGCTGCTGATTCCTCTTCCACCGGACAAAAATATGCATCTGCTGTTGAAGTTTGCCACTGTCCTCGAGGGTATTCTGGGACCTCCTGTGAAGTAAGCATCTTAATGGAAAGAAATTCGTTTATCTCCAGTTGACTGATGTATTTTAAATTCCAAAACCAATGCACTGCAAGTGGGTTGACAAAAGAATACCAAGGGAACAGCCTCTTTCAAATGAAGCCACAAAACAGTCATGTTCATGTCTACTTCAGAGTCTCAATGGCCACATTCAGACATCACAAGAAACTATTGTTTCCCCTGGTATCATCTAGTCTTCTCCCCTTTCTATGTGTGGCTACAAGGAGAAATTTGGACTCAAATTCTCCTTTCTTTTTTGAAACCCCATGCAGCCATGGCAGCTCTAGTCCAACTCAAGAATAATACATAGCATGTATGCATTTTCACCCTCCGTTCCTAAATTTAAAATGTCCTCACTCCATCTATTTCAAGCTGGTGTTCACACAAAGCTGCTTTTCCCTTCAAACTGTAGCTTTTGATGAAACTTTGTCATAGGAAACATTATTGGATGGAGTGGGGAGAAATAGGAAAGGACTGGGTCCCCTTCAGTCTGATGAAGAGGAAGAAAATTCTATGAGTTTTAAGGGGAAACTGCAATTTTATCTAGTTTGGCCTATAGACGACAGCATTAACAATTTTTGAAATCATTGTTTAAAGTGGTCGTTTTAAATCCTGTGTCAGTTGTCATCCTTGGGACCAAGCTGTAGAGAAGAAGGCAGGAAAAATTATTTGTGAGATGGTGGGGAAAATGAGCATGCATTACTATATTTGGCTTCCGCTATTTTTTACCCCATCTGCATCACATCTGTATTCATAAAAATATTGTACTGTATGCTTTAGGAAATGAAGATTCTCATCTGTTCATCCTTCATTGGGTTGCATTTAAAGTCCTGATATAACTTTTTCTTACAATAGGAATCATTCTGAAATTAATCCCATTACTTTGAAAAGGGATTTTGCTGGTTAAACTTCCATGGCTCTAGAGGCTAGGGTGTTGGGATTAACCACAACATGATTGGAACAAAAATGCCCACAACTTTATTAGTTACAGCTGCCACATCTCTGGCTCTAGCATGGAGGAGAGACCACACATTAGCTGACTAACAGCATGGACATTGCGGCTCCACTTGGCATCTGGGACTGAAGGGTGTGGAATAGCCTATGAGCTGGACATACATATACAGTAAGACCGTGGTATCTGGGGGGGATTGGTTACAAGCCTTCCTGCAGATGCCAAAAAGCACAGACATAGAAATTCTATATATAGCTTAGTCTCTGGTTCCCTCTAGTAGCCAATTCTGGTAATATACTTTGGAATATAATTTTTTTAATTTGATATTTAATATTTTCAAGCAGCCGACAAATCAAATTGCGGTTCCCTCTAGTAGCCAGTTCTGGTAATATACTTTGGAATATATTTTTTTAAATTTGATATTTAATATTTTCAAGCAGCTGACAAATCAAATTGTAAGTACTGATCCCACGACTATCATGGTCCTACTGTAGTTTCTGTGTACCCACTCTCATAGAAGGGAGCATCTCTGCGCCATGTGATCCTCAAACTGGATCCATCCTCATGCCTCAGAACGACTTCCAACAAATGAAGAAAAGTATACTGCCACTGCTAAAATCAATTAACAATCACACATAAAGGAGGGAGATTGGTGGTTGAAGAGCAAAGGAAGACTGCAACCCTTTAAATCCTTCCCAGACAGTTCAGAATGAAAATCTTTTCAATCCCCCTTGATTGCTTTTTCCATCTTTTTCCACGTCTAGGATAGTTGCCCCATTGATTTGGAATAAGGACGGGCCAATTTCTTCAGCAGGCACAATTGTACCCAACCCTGTCAACCCACTAGTTGAGAGCACATCTGCACTGGTTCTTTCAGTGACAGCTGGTGCAATATAAATAAGATCACTTGAAGCTGGGGGGAGGACATATCGACCTCAAGCAACCTTCTGTCTTCTTATGTTTTCAGTTGAACACTTCCCCTGCTCCTCTGCAGAGGGTCAGGTGAAGTGAAATTGCTATTTTTGCCTATGTTAGACTATCACTGATACACTGAATCACTTAGAATATTGTTTTTTTTTCTTTGCCTTTTGTGTAGTGCCAATTAAGAAATTGCCTGCTGTCTAGGTTTATTAAGCCACTTCACAGTAAGGAAAATTCAAGCTGGAAGGAGCACTGCCAGCTTTGAGAGCTGCAAATCTTGATCCAGAGATTGCACACACTGGGAATGGATTAAACTTGAGTCCACCAACCCATACTGAAAAAAGTAGAATCTCAGACAAGGGCTCAAAAAGGTGTGAGTCGGGTGCCCTGACAGCAAATTGCTCCACTCTAATGATTATGTTGTGTGCTTGCCAGAAGAAGAAGAAAGAGGAAACCAATCTGCCCCTAAATGCACGAATAAGTGGGACAAATGCCTAGCTCAAGCTTTAAAATTCAGTACCCAGTTGTCCTGCTAAATTTTGTCACCAAACTGCAAAAAGCCCTTAGAAGGAACAGGAAATACATGCTGTAAAAGAGACTTTCTCAAACTGCAAAAGCCTCTCTGAGTTGAACATTTCTTATATTTCAAAGGTCCTTTCACTGTTTCGTACTTAAATTTGGTGGCTGAGTTTAGAGGGACTGGCGGTTGCTTTTGTTCACAGGCTGTATGATGCCCACTCCTGGTTTAGAAAATGTAGTGTTGTTGAAGGTCACAAATGTAACATTTCCATATTTTCTTCCTATTTCTATCTCACATATACTCAGAGTGAGAGCACATATGCTTAACTAATTTGCAAAGGCATTGCTCACGGTGGCTTGAAATGCAGAAATTTTCAAAACCATGCCTCTAAGGAAGAGCTTTAAATCACAAAGATGTTCTGTTTCACAAGACTATAAACAATATGCCATTTATACAGGCACTCTGGGCATTTACTTGTCAGCTCTCTTTTCCTTTAGAGCACACCATGATTGTATATATGCTATTAAGGGTTATATCCTTAATTCATACATTCTCTCTTGTTCCTCCTGTTGAAAATAAGAGGGGAAAAAGATTTCTAGAAATCTTTTTTAAACAGACATGATTTGGGGGAGGGGGAGAAAGTAATGTGTATACTATGTGTAGTGATTATTTATCTTGTGTGATATAGTATACTGCAGTAAATTATTTAGTTATTGTCATTTGCAATATTGTTGGGTGAGTGCCACTGATGGGAGCTGCCTTTTGTGACTCTGGGGTACACACACAATACAGTGCAATCATATGCTTCCCAGATGCATACAGGAAAGCCTTCTGATGCCCTCATTCCCATCGTCCAGGCAGATCCACCCAAAAGGATTTTGCTCATAGTGTAGTATACTTCTATATGGGTTTTATTTTTAGGTATGTGATTAAATTTATATTCTGCCTCTCTCCCCAGACTGGGACTCATGGGAGCCCAAGGACTCCATGGCAGCATGTATAAAAAATCATCCGTACTATTCTAAAATTAAAATAACATTAAACATTATGTTTAAAAATCCAGTGGTTTATCTCCACTGCATTGCATTGCTTCTGCAGAAATCAGCAACTCTCCCTTCTTCATGTAGCCTTCAAGCATCCTAAAATCCTTTCCCAGAAAAGAACGACAGATGGCTGCATCAGGAGGGGAGTGTGAAGAAAATCTCAATTTTAGTGACACTGTATACCAAATTATACCATTAGATCTTGAGCAAAAATATAATGTAAACATTAGATGATGGCAGTGTTATACTATCTTCCTTTTAAAAAAAAACTACAGGCACTAAAATAAGCAAACATTGGCTGAAATCTTTACACCAGGCCACAAGAATGATGTCATCACCTAGCTACATGATTCTTTATTTCAATTTAATTTATAGCATTCTCACCCATTTCAGGTTCCAAGGTCCTCTAGGGATCCCTTTTGTTCTGGCAAAGCCTTTGGGAGCCTCAGGACAAGAAGGGAACCTTTTATATCAGGAAAGCTCTGCTAGTGATCTGGCAGCAATTTTTTTAAAAAATGAAAGTTCCCCCCCCCCCCGTCTTCCTGAGGCTCCTACATGTTTCTCCAGGACAAAGGGTCCCCTAGGGAGTCACAGAACCTGAAGGGGAAATAGGAAGTTTTAAATTAAAATAAGATAAAGAGTAACATTGCCAGACAATGTCATCCTCATTGTGTGACATAAAGTTATGCCAACTGGATTTCAGCCATTCTTTGGAGTGTGGTATGTTTTACATCATCAGCAAGAATTCCCTTTTTGGGGGGTTGGGATATAATAAAGCCTCATATTCAAAGGAACACTGCGTGTGCAGAATGAGTTAAATTTTACCCAAACACCCAAGCCAGAAAAAGTAAACTGAAACTAGATTAAGTAAAATAAAGCTTGTATTCTTGCCCTGTGTCATAGAATGCCCACCCCGAGGGTCTGATTTTGTGTACATTTTGCAAAACTAGATCTGTGTACATTTGCCAGATTAAACTGTGTTACTGTAGTGCATGAGGATTAAAAGAATATAACCGCTTGTCACCAGGCAAATGTATTAGATTTCAGTAGCTAGAAGCAAGCTCATCAGAAAGCATCTCCTAACTAAAGAGTGTTCCTAACCACCAGCCTTTGAAGCCTGTTTGTAAAGTATGTACAAACAGAGCAAAGGTTGAATGAAATGAAATGCCATGCTTATTTATTTAAAGTGTTGATGCTTCTTATTTCCCTTGCATTCTGAATCCTTTTTTGCCTTTGATCTCAGGAATAGCATATCCACCCTTTTGCCTATGATCAAGAGCTCTGATAGAACCTTCCCTACTAACCTTAGCGCTTTATTTAAGTTATGTCTTAGGAACTGAGAATTTTCCACCTTGAAGTATCATCAGTTTCCTATTGTTCTTTTTTGAAATCTTTCCTTGTTTTCCCATATTTTGGCTCAAGCATGGAGAAGTTTTTACCTTGACCCTCATCAGTTCCTATCTGTTCTCCTTATTAAGATTTATCCTTCTCCTTATTGAAGACCCTATATACTCTAAGATTTTTTTAACAAGTCCATTTT